CCATTATCGATTTGTGTGATGTGCAAAGGATTTTTGGTGAGTCATGGATGGAGGAAACGAATCAAGATCACCGTGGCTACAGTACCAAAGGCCGAATCACATCATCGAGAAGAAGATCTCAAAGACCATGTCAAGAAAGCATGGGAGGAGGTGAAGATCGATTTGACAGGTGATGATGATGACGACGAGGTGATGCCAGATGATGATGATGTCACCATGAAGAGTCCAGAACAAGAAACTCAACCAGAAGAAGGAGATGATGATCAAGCCTCGAAGAAGGGCGACATCAATGATGAGAAAAGAGACTTCAGAGAACAAGATGAGGTCGACAAATTCCTCAATCAAGAAGGAAGACCGACCGATGAGAACGATGATGAAGAGATAGCGGTCGATGAAATCAACATTGAAGAGTACGAGGCTGGAGAAGCTCGTGATGCAGTGATTGAGTACCCCAAGTGGATGCAACGGATTGAGTTTGGATCAAAGGTCCTGCCGATCGAACCTTGCACAATTGGAGATGCTCAGCCAGAATTCATCAAGATCCTCCTGTTGCAGATTGGATTACATATCGTCAGGATCTACAGACTATTCCAACGGAACTTCTGTGGAGACATCGAGACGGCATGGAAACATTTTCAACAGAATCAGAAATTCAGGATGGACCTGGACTCAAGGACACCATACCTGGGCGAGGATGAAAATGGTGAACTCATTGAACCAACTGCACAACAGATGAAAGAGCTCTACAGAGAGATCGGCCGACCAAATCAAAAGGACGACATCGGAGAAGAGGGATTCGTCAATGCATACTACGGGGCAGTGGTACTCAAAAGACTTCTCATATATACCCTTGAATGTGGCCACACGTATGATGACTTGCAAAACATCTTCTTTGATGAGGAGATGGAGAAGCTGTCGAAACGTGACACCACAGTGGATGAGATGAGAAAGACCACAGCGGCCCGCGACGCCCTTGACCGACAAGACGTCATGGTCAGAAGAATCATTGCAGGTGCATATAGGGTAAATGCTGTTTATTTCTTCAGGAACGTTGACTTTCAAGACACAATCACACTGAATCCAGTTGACATTGTGTGTGCTCTTCGTCCACCACTTCGAAGAATATCACTTTTACACCTGATCCTTCAGAATGGCCGACAATTGCCGCGACCTCTACTCCAAAAGCTATATGATGCGATCGATGACTACAATCACATCAAGCAACGGGAAGATCAACGACCAAGGTGGGGCATCCACTTGTCTGAAGCTCACATACTTGCGATTGCTGATACCCCGACTCCTGCTGATCGTGAACGTACCAATCCAGCCGCTGGTAAATCGAAAGCAGCCCCGAAAGCTGCACCAGCACTGGGAAGAGTGTCGAAAGCGAAAGCATCATTATCAGCAACATGGAGAACAGTTGAAACCGCTCCTCCGCCAAAACAAGCTCCAGTGACCCCGCCAAAGAAGGGTGGAAAAGATCAAGGAAAAGGTGGAAAATCTTATTCACACCGTGGCGGAGACTGGAACCAACAGGGATACTATGGATGGGGATATAGATGATTAAGCGATCTGACCTCTGCATAGGTCCTGATTGAACCTGGCGATGCGAGGATGCAATCATTGCTCGAGATTTACCTCTACTTCATTTTGAATGATTTCTGAGAGGACTCTGAGCCGGCTAATTTAGAACCACACATTTTTTTGAACATCATTGCATGAAACGCTGAGTTTCTACAGCGGTCTACATCTCAATCGACGAAGGAACGGGAAGGTAAACTTCTAGTTCCATAGTCAACTTTGTGTTTTGATTTCTTTAATTCACATGCTTGAGTGAGACTCCATGCTGGCTACGCCACATTGGATGAACCTCAATGCTAGACACCGACTACGTCGTGTCTACATGCACGTGAACAGAACCTTTATCTTTTGGTAGAGATTGTAGCAAGCCGCCATGTAGATGTGAAGTTCTGAACGGACTTTAAATCTCCATAATTAAATAAATGAACAGCTGCAGATCTAGTGGAACAATTTAAAGGACACTCCTTTGCGCGTGGCCGACAAAGTTGGCCATGCGTGGGGGGTGCGAATGGAGTGTAGGCTACGGACTATCACACACTCCTATGTATTTCAACTCCTTATTGTCCACCGCCAAGGGATGCATCGAATTGCACCTTTGGCTCAAGATCACTGCAAGCACCAGAAAGGAAAATACCGCCATGCTGAAGCCGCAACTCCTGTGCCGTCGTCACTGAACACGACCAAACATCAGAACATAATCGGGGAGATAACCTCCGATTCACATATTTTATCATTGTCATCATAATTTCAGTAGTGATGAGTACATATTATTGTTATTGCCATTGTTGTTGTTGCTGCTGTTGTCGATGTTGTTGCTGCTGCTGCTTTTGTTGTTGTTGTTGCTGTGGTGGTGATGGCCGTCGTCGTCGTCGTCGCCGTCGTCATTGTCAGCATGATTTTTATTATCATTCTTAATTATAATCATTACAGTATTATTATACGTATATGATGATTGTTATTACTACTATGACTATTATCATTTGTTTAAATCATCATTCTTATCATTATCAGTCTTCTTCGTAATATTGAAACTTGAACCGGTGTTTATACTTCAAATTTTCTCAACGTTTCTCACCGTTTCGACTCTCCGTTGGTTGCCGTTGGTTGCGAGGCGGTGGGATCGCGCGCGCAGTGGTCCGGGGCCGCGTTGATGGGCGTGGGCCTTCTCTTTACCGTTGGGGAGAACGTGCTTTGGCGATGTGTTAAGGTACAGCGGTGGGGGTGTTCTTACAGTAGGATAATCATATGGGATATTGTATGGGATATTGTATGGGATGTAATTGTGGTGGGATAAATAACTATAATGGGATGATAATCATGGGATTACATTGGGATGATCATATTTTAGATGGAGATAATATGGAATATTATATTACTATATGGGATATAATAATGCGGTGTCAATAACCATATAATTATATGGAATGTATAACTATAATTTTGATAATGCAGTATAACTAATGGGATAATGATGGGATAATATACAACTATATAATATAATTGAAATAATGGGAATACTATATATAACTAATGGGAGGTTCAAGAATAACTATTGTCATATGGTTTCTAAAGTCATGGTCCCCCAAGCGTCCACGGGTTAACCCATACTAAATTGTTTATCACTGGATTTGGGGCTAGACCCATGACTTAGGAAATGGGGACAGATGGATTCTTGGAAAATGAATTTGGGGATTTAAATTGGGATTATATGGGGATGAAATAGGGACATAATTGATCCAATCCAAGAAATGGTGTTTATGGGATTGAGCAGCTGATATATCTGACATTAGCCAATTGACCAACTAAACTGTTCTTGGAACATATGGATTCAATTGGGATATTACCCAAGAAATGGGGATTCAACATGATGTAATTAATCAGGACAAAATGAGGAAATCCGTTCCGATCACGTGGTCCAGACTTCTTCATGATCTCCCGAGCTGGAAGCTGGGGTTTCTTGCGGGCAGTCGCTGTTTTGTTCCTGTATATCCTCACATACCGAATCATACCCTACCATGCCACAATGGCCCAGCTGTTCTCATGGCTTTCACACATTCTGACCGCCACTGGAAAGTCACAGAGACTGAAATCTGAATTCGCATTGAGTTGTAAGGGCAACTGGGTTACTGTACAACCTGTTACAACTTATATCAACTTATTATATTATGTTTTTGATTGGCATTTCCATAAGATATCCGTAGATGATGAATGGGTCACTAGCGGTTTGTAACTGGGAAACCTATCCCCCATTGGTATTTCAACCCACCGACCAAGGCTCGAGACTCTGACGGAGTCGCCAAGTGGAACAAGCTGAAAATGCCTGGCATGGGATGATGGAACCAGTCCTGACCAAGTCAGGTTGGTAGGACTGGAGATACTGTGGATCGTAAGATTGGAGGTAAACAGAGAATGAAACCCAGAGAACTGGGCAAGTTTGGATGCGACTTCGCAAGTTTTGTGTTTTTGTGCTCCACCGTTTTTGTGTCGAGGGTCCAACTGGGAGACCTCGGCACTGTGGCTTGCAAGAGCTCAAATGGCACCCAGTCGTGTATAGATTGTGACGGAAAAGATTGGCAGATCGGGGGCATCTGGCTGGGTTACCCTCTGGTAAACTAACAGATTGCTATTGAAAATGGCCATTTATAATGAGTTTTGCCATTAAAAATGGTGATTTTCCATAGTTATGTTAGTTTACCAGAGGGTACAGCCTAAGAATCAGGTCTAAGCTGCCAATGATCAGTTGTCTCCTGCATCTTTGACTGCAGCATGGTGCAAAATCATGCGAAAGCCGCCTGGAGTGCAAACGGGGATGATGGTCAATACCTATATATAGGGGACCGTTTTGGAGGGAGCCAGGCAGCCACATCCGTTTATATTTTGTTGCCCGCTATTTGGGCCTGGGTTTTTGAGCAGTACTCCTCCATGCAAAGCCTCTGGAACTACTGATTGGGCACATGGATGTTGTTTTGTGATGTTTTGTGCCTGCCAGTACAACATGGAGTACTACGAAAGACGTGTCGAGGCCTCTCTTCTTATGGGCTGTCACTGCACATGATTCACGGGGATTTGTTGTTGTTTGTCCTTTGATCTGGAGTTCATAAGTTCAAGAAGAAAGTCACAAGTGGGATCGAAATCGAACCAAGGAACACAGCTTAAGGCGTAAGGGGTTATGTTTCTTTGGCTACTGTACTTTAGCATACTTTAGCTGTATTGATTTGTCAGATGTGATGAATGTATATACGCCAATTGATTCATTGTAATCAGCTCAAACTGTTTTCCACTGGATGCTAGCCATTATATTATATTAACATATCTTAACCAGTAACAGATAGTAACAGAATATTGACCATTATATTAGGTTGTTGCGAATCACCAGTGGCCTTTGTCAACAGCTCTGTGACCGTGCCAGATGCGGCCATGTCCAGCTAGCAGGACGGTGATATTGATTACCACCAAGCACTAATAAGGGCTCGTTAACCATTACCCTCTGGTAATTTAACGTAGCTATTGAAAATGACCAGTAATAGTGGATTTTCCCATTAAGAATTGTGATTTTCAATAGCTATGTTAAATTACCAGAGGGTATATCAGCCATTATTGGAGGTGAAATCCCTATGTGGAATGCATTGGCCCAGTCAAATGGCAGTTTTGGTCTTGAGGCGATGCTTTTCAAATGAATCGGTAACGAGAAGCAGCTGGAAAATTCCCCTGAAGAGTAGCATGGTGGTACAGCCATGACATCCAGGTGGTGTCCTGAAGATCCAAGATGTGTTCACACGCCACTGAATCCAAGCCTCGTTGTGCAGGATTATGGATCCATCCCTCATATCTGCGCCAGTGCCAAGTGGAAGGGCGGTCTGGTTCTAAGCGGGAGAACTGCAGCAAGTGCATCACCATCTCCATGTCGCAGCCCCACTTGGCGCGTCTCAATCCCAAGTATTCAATGGGAAAGCCCATCATGAACAGTTACCATAGGTAAGTTACTTCCCCTGTGACTACCCTCCAGGTTTTTCGGAGAATCCAAGATCCATCACTTGACGGGGAAGTTTCCTTCTGCCAATCTCCGGATTTTCCTGAGATTCCTAAGGAATCTCCGTTTTCAGCAGAGAATTCGCCACATGTGGCCCCGGCCAGGAGAAGACAGGCTGGGTTTCAGTGCCGCAGCTCTCTTAAGATGGTCAAGTCATGTCATGAATTGATTCTCCAAAAAATTAGATGGTTTATATACGTATGTTTATACAACCAAGAAAAGACGCAAAATTGGATGACACATGTTGATACGTGCTAAACTTATCCCAAATTAGATAGTTTAAGCAACCAAGAAAACTGGATGTTTTACAGATGACCAGAGGTACCCTGGTTCTGCGTAAAGTTGAAAGAAGCTGCAGTTTTTGTTTGAGATCCACATATCATCACATATCCCTGATAGTTGAGGTGATTCTCTTCCCTTGAAAAGCCTCTCATTGTGGAACGAGGGTTTGTGGACGACAGTCATTTGCAAGAACCTAGTTACATCTACCCCCAGCTCTCAGCAACTAGACCTGTGGCTATGCTTTTCATTTAGGAGATGGCAAGTTTTGGTGGGGGATAAACATCAATCCATTTCGGTAGTGACGTATCTGATTGGGTGCACTCTTGCTGAGCAATTGCATTGACATGTAATATGATTTGCCAAGATTCGATTACCCGAGATAGCAAATAATCAAATAATGTATAATTGCGAACTGTGTACATGTTAGGTACTGTATACTCTTTCTGCTATCTCAACAGCTCCGGTAGAGACCTTAATTATCGACGCAGTTACAAGCTGAGAGGGTTTGTAGAAAAGCAAAAGGACCACAAGTTAAAACACAATCTCTTGCTGGCTTTCGTTCCCCCCTTCTCAGGTAATGTGGTTTAGAGACGATTGACATGCGTGCGTTCGGATTGTGAAGCTTGTGGTCGGGTTTCATTCCGACCCGCATAGTTGTGGTCCCATCATGGCCCATGCTAATTGAACTGGCATCTAGTGAGGCTCATGTGTCAGGGGCCAATGTATGCTTGAGCTCAGCTTATAGGCGTTCTAGTATATATTGTGAGTCGCCCTGCGCAGACTCATTCTGGCAGCTTGTTTCATCTTCAGACAACTGTGCTCAGCACAGGGGATATCACATAGCAGCGCCGTAGCAGTGGCATAGCAGTGGCACCGATCTCTTGATGATTGCAAAGGTGAAGCAAGCCATGGCTGATGCGACATAAACATTGATGTGGAGAAGCAGGAACAAACTTTCAGTAACCAAGTCGACAGCATCCTACGCCACCTCACCGTCCATGATGGACGAGGACCCAAAAAGAGCGACAAGATCTGGCAGCAGAAAGACCTCATGATTCGCCAGAGGAAGCGACTCAAGATTCTTCGATGTCGACTACGAAGTGAGGTGCTCTCAATGGCCTTCTACGCTTGGCGGGGTCAACCTGATCACCATTGCGCGATTGAGGCCTTCAACTATGGCACGATTCTACGATGCTATGGCATCAAGATCTTCTTGGCCTTTAACGTCAGCCGGCAATTGCGCAACATGATCAAGGATGCCAAGAACCTCCTCATTGATCAAAGGCTACAAGAGACATCGGAACGCACAGCGTCCTCTCACATCCTATACAACTGATGAGAGACTTCGCGGGACCAACCAACCCCCGGAAGCAGAAACAGAAGACACTCCCGATGGTCGAGAATCAAAGTGGAGCAGTGTCCACCACGCCCTTTGAAGCTGATCAGATCTGGATTGACTTCTTTGCCGAGATGGAGGGCGGAAACAGGCAAACCATGCAGGATCTACACCATGATTGGGTCTGTGCGCTACAATCAGAGCCACAAGAGGCCTTTGATCTTCACACAAGCCAGCTGCCGACCCTTACAGATCTCGAACTTGCTTTCAGAAGGGTTGCAAAGGGCAAAGCCACTGGGCCTGATCATGTTCCCGGAGAGCTTTGTCACTTGGCTCCAGAGCATTGTGCCCAGGTGAACTATGCGGCACTATGGAAAATGCTCCTCTTTGGTCATGAAGCACTGCAATACACAGGTGGCCTTCTTGTTCAAGCTTATAAGGGAAGTGGTGAGAAGACGCAATGTGCCTCTTACCCCTCTCTTCTGATTTCAAGCCACATTGGCAAAGCCCTCCATCGAGCGATGAGGAGCTCACAGGCAACCTTGTTTGAAAGTTTTCTACAAGCGCAACAAATTGGAGGGAGAAGGGTTGTATGGCGTGCACCTTGTCAGAGCATTTATGCGACAAGCCCGACATCAAGGACGGTCATGTGCCCTCATCATGCTTGATCTCAAGGAGGCATTCTACCGCATCCTTAGGCCTCTCTGCATCAGAGGCAAATTGACAGATGAGTCGCTTGACAAGCTCATGCAGCTTGCGGATGCCTCCAGATGCTCTTCACACACTGCACCAGATCTTTAAGGAGCCCAGCGCCCTTGAGAGTGCGGGCATGGCTCGATGGGAACAAAGAAGCATTCGAGCAGTGCACTCCCAGACCCATTTCTGGATGTGACAGCAAACAGACGTAGTTCAGACCACCCATGGATCCAGGCCCGGAGACCCGTTTGCGGATGTCATATTCAGCTATGTCTGGGCCATTGTATTGGAGCAGCAGGCCATGCTAAGCCATGTCCCCCAACGAGACCGATTTCCGGTGTTTCAGACGGAGCAGATGCCTGACCAGCATCTTCCTTTTCTGGGTCCAACCTGGATGGATGATCTTGCAGTTTGTCTCGAAGGAGAAAGTCCGGAACAAACGATCAGAAAAGCAGGGATCGCAGCCGGCCGCTTACTGGAGCTTTGTACCGAACATGCAATGTCGCCCAACTTGAAGAAGAACAAGACGGAGATTCTGTTCCCTCTTCAAGGGCCAGAATCGCGCAAGTACAAGAAGCTCCTCTACGGGCCTGAAGCCACTGGAGTGTTCCCGGTGATCAATGAGTTTGGCACTTTTGAAGTTGCCATCACGACACGGTACAGACACTTAGGAGGGGTCATACGTCACACGGCACAGATCAGAAGGACGAGATACGTCGAAGAGTTGGCATTGCACATGGCACTCTGACATAGCATCGCAAGCTACTTTTCCGCAACTGGAGACTCCCTCTGAAAAAGCGAACGCAGCTGTTCGAGTCACTGATCCTGAGCAAGCTACTCTACGGAGAAGAGACACGGATTGCGACTGATGATCGTACAGTGCGTTTCTTTCAGGCAGCCGTGATCAAGCTCTACCGTCGTCTTCTCCCTGTACGCCCTGATGGCCACTTGACAGATCAGGACATTTTGACGCGGGTTGGATTGCCCAGCCCAATTGAGCTTCTAGGAAGAGCACGTCTTCGATATGTGGCCACAATTCTTCATTGTGGAGTGCAAACAGAGTGGGGTCTATTGAATGGCGGCCGACCGACAATGGACTGGGCTTGTGGAGGAAACATGGAATGGGCGTGGAAGCAGCTGCTTCAGCACAGTTCACATCTCCTTGAACCCAGGCAGAATTGGGAGCAATGGCACAACTTGACCGTCTTTCACAGATCCTACTGGAGAAGACTTGTCCGTCGTGCCTGTGAACATGCCTGCAGCGCAGCAACGTTTGCCATCTCATGGAGTTTCATCAGGCAGCGCTACACTCGCTTCGAGAGCTCTACGATACGATTACACCCCGCACCAGCATCTTGAGGAAGCTGAACCGTGGATGCCTACTCTGCCGCAAAAGATGCCGCACCAAGGCGGGCGAAGCAGCTCATATGTTTCGTGCCCATGGCATCATTGCCCGCAGACGCACATTGACAGACACACCGTGTCCAGCGTGCCTGAAGAACTATCACACGATGGACAAGGTGTCAGCCCATCTTTACTATTCATCGAGGTGCAGAAGAACTCTACAGAGTCGCAACTATGCCTGCATTGCAGTACCTGGGGCAGGGTCGTTAGAAGATCGACAAAGACAACAGGAACACGACCGACTGCTGCCGCCGATACAGGCGGCAGGACCGTTATACCGGAGCCGCAATGACTTCGAGAAGATCCTGGCGTCGGCAGCGAGCTGCACATGTTCTTCATGGAGACCTGCATCGATGCTACCACTCCATCGCAAGCGATTGAGGGTATGGCAGCAGCGAAAGCGGATGAGAGACATATATCTTATGGACGACGTGGACTGCGACGCTGCGCTACTTCGTGGACAACCTGGAGGCTCAGGACGTGGACAAGTGGGAGATGGACGAAGGTGGTCAGCTCATTCCAGGAACTTCTGGATCCAACGAGATGCATGGGGCTTGAAGGCCCCCTTCGCAAAAGAAGTGACAAGCCTGGAGGAGCTGGAAAAGGAATGCGGCGACGTGGCAGTTACGGAGTGGCTTGGACATGCGCCGATTCGGATCCACGCAGCTTTGGGCGCCATCGAGTCCTATTACACATGTTCTCTGGGCGCAGGCGACAGGGAGATGTGCAGTTCTTTCTGGACCGCATGGACCCACCCACGGGATACGTTTTGCACGTTATATGGACACTGCCATAGACGAGCAGTGGGGCAATGCAAAAGATGCAAAGGCCCGAGAGTATATGGCTCTCAGCGGCGAATGCAGGATACATTGCCGGTTTCTTAGCCGGACCGCCTTGCGAGACGTGGTCAGTGGCTCGTGGGCGCAAGTTGGACGTGAAGGAGGGAGCTCAAAGGAGGGCGCCGCGTATTTTGCGCACGGCCGAGCACCTTTGGGGTCTGCCTAGCCTGGCTTTGAAAGAATTCGAGCAGATCCTAGCTAACCGGGAACTTTCTCCTCACTTTCTCACTGTTGATGGCGAGTACAAGTGTCTTAGAACACCCGGCCGGGCGGCAATCTGGAAGTTGCCCGTTGTACAAGCGCTTCTTCAAGCACCTGGA